CCAGTTCCAGTCATGGAATTTTTACTGGGAACGGGATCACGGGATCACCTGGAAAACCACAAGGACGCGGTCGGAAGGGCCTGACATTCAGACCTGTGGAACGTCTGGAATTCCCGGGATATCTGCAATAAATTCAGGATATTTCATCAGATATTTCGTAGTTCTTTTTCCTGTAGGATCCGCGCCCGGCACAGAGATAAAGGGAATTATTAATAAATTACCCCGCGGTGAGCGGCCCTGGGCGTGCCCCGGGTGAAAAAACACCCAAACCCCCGCAGCGGGAAGAGCTTCCATCGCTCCCAAATTTTGTCCAGGGGGTGGGAGCGGGGCCGGTTCCGGTTGGGAAAGATCCCGGTCACCGGGTTCAGCTCTTCCCCAGGGAGATAAAAGCCTCTCCCGGGAGAAACTCCGCACTCGGAGCGGCTTCTCCTTCCTCCCCTCCTCGAGCAGGACGCGCCAGGTGAGTCCTTCCCTGCCCGGCTGAGGATTTTTTGTGCCATGGCCTTGGAAAAATGGGATTTTTTTTTTGGTTTTCTGTCCTCAAACTTGAGTAAATCTTCTCAAAAATTCCCATCTGCATGGGTGAAAATGGAATATATATTGCAGAATTTTGAGACTGCCCAGGTGAGGGGTTTTGGTGCCCTGGCCTTGGAAAAATGGGATTTTTTTTTGGTTTTCCATCTCAATCTTGAGTTAATCTCCCCAAAAATTCCACTTATATGGATGGAAAGTTGTATTATGGAATTTTGGGAATTTTTGAGGAAGTTATCTGCCTTTTCCCTGCCCAGGTGAGGGGTTTTGGTGCCGTGGCCTCGGAAAAATGGGATTTTTCTTGGTTTTCCATCTCAATCTTGAGTTAATCTCCCCCAAAAATTCCGTTTATATAGATGGAAAGCTGCATTATGGAATTTTGAGACAGGAGAGGGGTTTTGGTGCCCTGGCCTTGGAAAAATGGGATTTTTTTTTTGGTTTTCCTTCTCAATCTTGAGTTATTCTCCTCAAAAATTCCATCTGTATGGGTGGAAAACCGTATTGCAGAATTTGGGGAATTTTTGAGGAAGTTTCCTGCCCTTTTCCCTGCCCAGGTGAGGGGATTTTGGTGCCCTGGCCTTGGAAAAATTGGATTTTTCTTTGGTTTCTGCCCTCAAACTTGAATTAATCTCTCCAAAAATTCCACCTGTGATCCTTTCTTGCTGTTCGGGGGTCGATCCCGAAAATGAGGCACCACCCGAAACCTCCACACCCCAAAAGGCGAATTTAGTCCGGGCTTAAAATAACCCAATTTCCCCCTCGATTTTTTTTTTTTTTTTTTAATTTCAGGTTTCTCCAGCCTGGAACCCGAACTCCCCAAAATCGGGGCTGAACCGCAGCGTCCCGAGGGATTTAATCCCAGGAGCTGCCGGGTTTGGGATTGAGTTTAAAACTGATCCTTTTTGCTTTGTGGGGTCGATCCCAAAATTGGGGTGCCACCCGAAACCTTGACACCCAAAGCTTGAATTTAAGCGGGGTTTAAAATAATTCGATTTTCCTCAATTTCAGGATGTCCCAGCAGCAGAAACAGCAGCAGCAGATCCCGCCCCAGTGCCAGGAGAAGTGTGGGATGGTTCCCAAAGGATCGGGACAACTCCAGGAACCCAAAGGTCACCCCAAAGGGGTGAAAAACCTCCCCCAGCAGCAGCAGCAGCAGCAGCAGGGCTGCCCCAAACAGAAATAGAAACTTCCAGAAGCCTCTCC